GCACAGATAGCCCCTGTGTAGCTTTGTGCATAATTAAACAAACAAACTTGTTTCATCTTTTTGTCTCTCTCCTTCAAGTGGGCCCCCCAGTAGCACAGATAGCCCATTGTGTAGCTTTGTGCTTAACATAAAAAAAAACAAAAAACAAAACTTCAAGTGTATAAAGCTTTGTTAGCAAAAAACGTACAAAAGCTGCCACTTTGTCACGATTTGATCTTTAAAATAACTTTCAACTTTAATTTTAACAAAACTTTCTTAGGTTCAACTATTTTCGTTGTTTCAAATAGTGCATAATATAAAAACAGCGCGTCACGAAAGTCTATCTTGACATCAGATATTCGCTTCCAGACACGCAGTCAATCCACTAAACACAACTCTGCTATATATTAAATTCTGAACAGACAGAACTCAAAGATTTGTTATTTACTTTGAAAAAAGTATACAGCACGTTTTTTGATGTTAACTATCTTATACACTTTTGTTCGTATTTTAATGAAAAGCAATGTTATTTGATCAGTAATTTATTAGGTACTGAGTAGTATAGTGTATAGCGCATATGTCAAAACATGGTTACAATAGAATTGAAAATATTTGTTCATAACAATTTATTTATACTAATCTAATAATCGTTTCAAACAAGCAGAGTGGGGAATATTACAATTATGATAAAAATCAGTCTCGGTTTAAAGTAGATTGTTGACGAGTTATTAAAATTAATTCATCTTTAGTTGTTACCTATTTTCATATATTGTCATAATTACTGGAGTTAATGTCAACGTTATACATCTTTTAAACATGCTATATGTTCTCTCAAATCTAGACATTAAATATTCGTTTATACATGTATAGATATTATAAAGCAAAAAACGCTTACTTACAAAATTAATACAAACGAAGTGCTCCATTTTGTTCATTTAACTCTGATTAAATAGTCAGAGAAACTACGTTAGCCAATAGATTTCAACCGAAATTAAATAAGCGAAACAGTGTAGCTCATTTGTTAAGAATTACTTAACAGAAGACCCTCACATGTTCAATACCACAGCAAAATCTCACCAGAAGTATTGCTTGAACCTATAAAGTTCAAAGGTTCCATTATCATTGTTATAAAAGTATTGTAGTTGCGTTGTTTGTTTCTCCCGTTTCTCTGTTCTATTTTTTTTATTATTGTAAGAAACATCATTCCAACTGTACTATGTTTTGTTGTTTTGGCGTTATACACCATACTAGTAGGTAAATAAGTTGTGTTTCTTACAAAACAAAAACGTGCTTCATGCTTCAGTAGTTTTCTGAGTAATATTTAGACGTGTCGTTATCGCTACACTTCGAAATCCTTTTTCTTGTCTTGTTCTTCCACACGACAATGTCCGCTTGAAGGCGCGTCGAAACTTGACAGACATGGCGTTGTACAGAATCGGGTTGATAGCGCTGTTGATGAAGATCATGGTTTTACAGAACATCAGGAACCAAAGTTCCATATAGCGTTCCTTAGCCAGTGAGTTGTACACCAAAAGTACACGATAAGGCATCCATAGTGTAGCGAATACAGCTACAACAACAGCCAACATCTTCACCACCTATTGAAAGAAAAAACAAATGAACGAACAACATTCATTAACTCCAGCATTAAAATAAACAGGAAAAAGCAATTATTAAAGTCATCTAAATATTAAAAAAAAGAAATACAAATAAACGAACAACATTCATTAACTCCAGCATTAAAATAAACAGGAAAAAGCAATTATTAAAGTCATCTAAATATTAGAAAAAAAGAAATACAAATAACAGCAAACGATAATAGTTAAGTATTTTACGTTGATTGAAAGTAATTTTTTTTAGTTCTACTCAACCCTACTTAATTGAATAAAGTAATTTAACCTTTGTCTGCTTCATTACCTAGATGGACAAAACAATAACTTTTCCAAGCTAACTTCAATCGCTGATTCTTAGTATTAATGTGAAATAGTGATAAAATAGAACACATTTTGTAAAACTATGGATAGTTTTGCCCACATAGAACATTTGAAGTTTGGCAGTAATTTAAGCATATTATACTTGCTTTCCAAATCAATCTTTAACTATCGGAAAAGTTGGTTAGAAGTGGTATTAAAGAATCATCTTATTAAAAGAACAGGAACACAAGTGATTAGTTAAGAGGATATAAGGCCCTCGAGTTACGATCATGGACGAATTGTTCTCTCATGTTCATGAAATTCGAAACCTCTGTAAGTAAATCTTGATCACAAGGTTATCATCAGTAGCAGGTTATGAGATTTGCAATTACTATAACACCACATGTGTTATAATACACGTGGCAGGGAGTGTTGTATCACTAAAAGATCTGCTGTTACCTGAGGGTAACAATTAGAGTAATTAACCTTGCAGGATATTGATCTAATCAAAGTATAACAACACATTGATAACTTATATATATATTATTGCATATTCTCAAACCTGAACTATGCCAATAAATAATGCGTTGAGAACTTGATATTCTTAATTGTAACTAAGTTAGTATTTCTATATGCCTGGCGAGGATCACAAACTCGTCTTTGAGCTATCTAAGCACTTACTCACTGACGAGTTATATATTTGGTCTTTAAGAATGGATTTTGTCGTAATTAAAACGTACAATCAAGCACATGTTTCAAAAATGGATTTGGTCGTAATTAAAATAAGGAAGACAGATTTCTTGTTAGTCATAATCTATAGCCTGTTTCTACAGCAACGATGTACGAATGGTTTGAATTTCGCGCAAAGCTATACGAGGGCTATCTGCGCCAGCCGTTCCTGATTCAGCAAGGGGATTCGAACCCGCGACCCTCAGATTGCGAGTCAAGCGCACTAACCACCTGGCCATGCCATGCCAGGATGTACACGTGTTTTTTATAGCAAAGCCACATCAGGCTATCTGCTTTGTCTACCCGAGGGGAATCGAACCCCTGATTTTAGCGTTGCAAATCCGAAAACGTACCGCTGTACCACCGGGGGACCCAGGATGTACGAATATCTTCCATTGATAATTAGTTTCTATATTCCGTTTATATTGATATAGTAATAATTAAGTAATTACATTATAATAACTTTATATATCTATTCGCGAAATATTTTTAACGTTCCATCGTTAGTTCGTCATGTAAAAATCATTTAGAAATCATTAACTTATTGACTAACCACTTTTTAGTTCAATATGAGCATAATAAAAAAATATGTTCATGATTTATTAAAATTTAGTATACGGTGCCGTTCATCTGAACATATATACAGAAACAATGAATTTTGTTTTTATTTTCTAACGTCAAAAATTCGAACTAACTAACTTTGTAAGCTATAGTCAATATAGAAGTCTTTATACTGTAATGCATGTCATATATATTGATAAACATCCATTATTCTCGAACATACCTATAATAATAAAAGGGTGTGTCTGTGTGTATGTGTGGTTGCCATATCTCTAAGAGAAAAACCTAGAAACCTGAAATTTTGAACACACACTAAGTGGACACTGAGGGTGTGCAACTGAATATTATTACTTAATGAGTCAAGCTAGCGAAAAACCATATAGAAAAAAGTGGTTCCTTATATTACAAATAAGAATCACATCCAGACAGACAGACAGGCACGTGTGTGCATGTGCGCGTGCGCACGTGCGTGTCTGTATCTGTGATCACCATAGCTCAAAGAGGAAAGAACTTAAATACCTGAAATTTTGCGCCCATACTATGTGAAAGCTTGAGAGTGCGCATCTGGGTATTATTAATTAGCCATGGGCGTGCTCGCATGCGCGTGCGCATCTTTTTATGAGGCAAGCTAGCGAAAAAACCACATAGAAAAGAAATGTGACCACCATAACTCCAAGAAGAAAGAACCTAGAAACCTGAAATTTTGCAAGTATACTGAGTGGACCCTGAGGGTGTGCACCTGAGTATTATTACTTATCCACGTGCGCATCTTTTTAATGAGATGAACTAGCGAAAAACTACATAAAAATAAAGTGGTTCCTTACATAACAACTTCTAATATATATAAAACCATTGCGTTTTGGTAACAGCAATGGCTTTTATGTCATGTTGCTTAGCAACAATATACAGGTTAAACTTTTATGCTAAAATGGGTTCAGAATAGACACACTATGAATCTAATAACCCGAGCGAAGACGGATATTTTCGCTAGTTATATATATTTCGTGTTTTGATTAGTAGAGTAGTAACAGCTAAAGTGTTCCAAGACGTTAGCTCATCTTTGAAATAAATTAGCAGTCTTTTATAATTTTTTTATTTTATTAAGAAATCTTGTTAGGAGTTGTATGGCGTATATAGTTTCTTAATCATCCGTTAATAGCTTAGTAAAATACTTATTTAGTAAATATTTATATTTTTTCTTCATATAAAATTACCGGTGAGCATTCCATTTGTTTTTCTAATCAAAGAAAGAGAAAATATATTTGAAAATATTTCCTGACACAATATATTTGTTTATTTGTGTGCGGACGTATTAAGCGAAACTGCAGTACTAGAGATAAAAAGATAATACGCCATGTTAAACGACTCTATGTAAGCTCAATTTCTTTGAATCAAGCCCAATAATCGTGTTCAGACTGTTACGCTGATTTCTTAAATTGTTTCCCAAATAGAAATGATTATTTTCTCTATGTTTTTAAATATAGTTTCCAATTTCATTTGATAAAACTGAGCGCAAATTAAAATAGAACAACAAATACTAAATTTTTTCTATTGCTGAAAGATTTGTACAAATAAAACTTCAATCACATATTGTTATTGTATACACTTAAAGAATGGACGTTCATAACTACTGCCACTGTTGTCATTTATTCGCTGTTTCTATGAAAACAGAAACGAATTAGTCTGCTATTTTCTACCAGTTTTCTTTATAATCTCGTGTCATGATAGATCTATTTTTTTTTTTACTTTATATTCCTATAACAAAGAAAATACATTGCGTTGTCAGAGATGGTTGTACAGTGAGTAGCGTGACTACCAACTATCAGATCATTCATTCAAATCACGCATACTATACAACTCATTCTTAGAGACCACTCAGAAAATGCTGTACAGCTAATTCTAGTTTGCATGAGTAGTAAATTTATAAAACCTTATTTTCTGGATGACCGATTTTAGTGACAAAAAAGTGTTAGGCTTAATTCCCTGATTTTCGATTGTCTTTTAAATGTTTTCCTTCACACGCGCTCCAGTTAGAGTGAAATTAAGGAATATTAACTCTAGAACACTTGATGCATTTAAAGAAAAGGCAGCAGCATGCAATAAAAAATTATTTTTGCATTTATATGTTTAAATCACAACAATTTATTCAAAGGAAGGAAAATTAAGTCTAAATAGTACTTTAAAATTATTTATTAATATTATTATATTTGTTGAATAGGCTCTTGGAATTTCTGTTATATTTGTTTGTTTGTAGTTAAGCACAAAGCTACACAAAGTGCTATCTGTGCTCTGCACACCACGGGTATCAAAACCCGATTTCTAGCGTTGTAAGTCCACAGACATAGCTTAAGATACGAAAACCAAAAGAAACATTTTATTTTTAAGGTCAAAATTTATACTTTCTTTGTATCGAATAAGCTCATAGAACTTACCTTCATACTTATGATTTGAAACATAACGTGCTATGCATAGATTTAAATAAGTTTATATTTCTGAAAAGGTATCGATTGGTTTTCATTTTCTTAGATAAAAATATTCAACAAGTTCACAGATTGCATCATTCAACTTCATATCTACCCAGCTGACTAGGGAACAAGAAGTATCGTAAACGCGAAAAAGGATATTTTGGAAGAAACTTAACAAACCTCCAATATAACCAATTAGTTGTTCCGAGTATTTTTATGACCATAGTGTCACGTTTATCGTCACGTACATAGAAGGAAAAGTTCCAGACTTTCTTGATATTCCACGAAGGCTTCTCAACCCACTATTGAATGTCTGAACACCCATAGATGTTATAATCGTTGACATAACCTTTCAGACTAGTTCTCATTATTTACATATAATCAACATGTATATGACATAACCTTTGAGACTAGTTCTCAAGATTTACGTATAATCAACATGTATATGACATAACCTTTCAGACTAGATCTCATTAGTTACATATAATCAACATGTATATGACATAACCTTTCAGACTAGTTCTCATTATTTACATATAATCAGCATGTATATTTTTACTAGACTAAAAAGATCTGTGTGAGGTCACTATGCACTGAAGATAATTGTTTGTTTTAAATTCAAGGATGCACGATAGTAAAACTGCATTGTGCCCATACCAAAAATGAGCCCCGAATATTGGAATTATTAACTTTCCTAGCTTACCACTTGGCAATAGGGGAGCTACACTTAAGTTTGTTTGTTTGTTTTGAATTTCGCGCAAAGCTACACGAGGGATATTTGCGCTAGCCGTCTCTAATTTAGCAGTGTAAGGATAGAGGGAAGGTAGCTAGTCATCACCACCCACCACCAACTCTTGAGCTACTCAGTGGGATTGACCAACACATTATAACGCCCCCACGGCTGAAAGGGCAAGCATGTTTGGTGGGACG